TGAGTTTATATGCAGCTATCAAAAATAATTCAGACCCTTTCTCCATGTTCCCCTAGTGATCTTGAAAACTGTGGTAAAATATCACAGAGTATTGACATGTATGCCGTCATATGTAGAACATTTCATGTCAAGTATCTCGTGTGCTGCTGTTTTTGTTTTGTTTTTAAGGATTTTAAAAAAATTTATTCATGAGAGAGACAAGGGAGAGAGGCAGAGGTAGAGGAAGAAGCAGGCTTCCCATGGAGCAGGAAGCCTGATGTGGAGCTAAGTCCCAGGACCTTGAGATCATGACGTGAGCCAAAGGCAGATGCTTAACTGACTGAGCCACCTAGATGCCCCTCATGTTGCTGTTTTTATAATCCTGCCCCCTTTATAACTCCTTGCAATCACAACTCTGTTTTCCATTTCTATAATTTTGTCATTTTAAGAATGTGAAAGATATAGTCATATCGTACAGTCTTTTGAGATTGGCTTCTTTACACTCAGCAAAATTCTCCAGAGATTCATGCAAGTTGTATCATTAGTTCTTTTTTTATTGCTAAATAATATTCTATGGTGTGGAGGTACTACAGTTTATTTAACCACTCACCTGATGAAAGACATCTGGGTTGTTTCCAGTTTGGAGCTATTATGAATAAAGATACTGTGAACATTCATGTACATGTTTTTGTATGAATAAGTTTTTGTTTCTCCTGGATAAATGCCCAGGAATGCAATTGCCAAGCTGTATGATAGTTGTGTGTTTAGTTTTTAAAAGAAACAGCCAAATGTTTTCCCAGAGTGTCATTAATTTCATTCCTATCAGCAGCATCTGAATGATCTAGTTTCTCTGAATCTTCACCATCATTTAGTATTGTCACTGTTTTTTAGTCTGTTTCAACAGATATATAGTGATAATCTCATGTGATTTGAATTTGCATTTCTTTGATGACTAATAATATTGAATATCCTTTCCTGAGTTTACTTGCCATTTATATATATTTTTTCTTTGGTAAAATGTCTATTCATGTATCTTTCCCATTTTCTGATTGGAATTTTTTTTTAATAGTTGTGTTTTGAGAGTTCTTTATATATTCTAGATACTAGTTCTTTGACAGTTATATGGTTGACATCTATTTTCTCTCAGTCTGTAACTTATTTTTTCATCTTCATAGGATTTTTGGCAAAGAGCAAAGTTTTGAATTTGGGTAGAATTCATTTTATAAATTTTTCATTATATAGATTGTGCTTTTGGTGCCCAAGCCCAAGCCATGAACTCTTTTCTAGCCCTAGATTCTAAAGATTTTCTCGTTGTTTTTTTTTTTTCCTAAAAGTTTTATAGTTTCTGTTTTACATTTAAGTCTGTCACTCGTTAGGAATTAATTTTTGTGTAAGATGTATCTGATGTTGAAGTCCTTTTTCTTTGTCCAGCCCTCAATGAGTTGCTTTTGTGCCTCAGTCAAAAATAAGATAACATGGGTAGAATTCATTTTATAAATTTTTCATTATATGGATTGTGCTTTTGGTGCCCAAGCCCAAGCCATGAACTCTTTCTAGCCCTAGATTCTAAAGATTTTCTCGTTTTTTTTTTTTCCTAAAAGTTTTATAGTTTCTGTTTTACATTTAAGTCTGTCACTCGTTAGGAATTATTTTTTGTGTAAGATGTATCTGTTGTTGAAGTCCTTTTTCTTTGTCCAGCCCTCAATGAGTTGCTTTTGTGCCTCAGTCAAAAATAAGATAACATGTATATACGGGTTTATTTCTGGGTTCACTTTCTCTTTCGTTGATCTATGTCTCTGCTACTCCACCAGTATTCTACATTCTTGATTAACTGCTGTAGCTGTATTAAATCTTGAAATCAGGTACACTGATTGCTCATATTTCATTCATTTTCAAAATCATTTTAGCTATTCTAGTCCTTTGTCTTTTTATGTAAAATCTAGAATAAACTTCTTTATGTCTACTATACCTACAAAAATTTTGCTGGGAATTTTTAGGAATTATGTTAAAACTGTACAACAATTTGAGGAGAATTGACATTTTTATTATGTTTACCTTCCAGTTCTTGAACACAGTAAGTTTCCTCATTTATTTACATCTTCTTTTTTTTTTAAATTTTTATTTATTTATGATAGTCACAGAGAGAGAGACAGAGAGGCAGAGACACAGGCAGAGGGAGAAGCAGGCTCCATGCACTGGGAGCCCGATGTGGGATTCGATCCCGAGTCTCCAGGATCACGCCCTGGGCCAAAGGCAGGCGCCAAACCGCTGCGCCACCCAGGGATCCCTATTTACATCTTCTTTGAATGTTTTCATCAATATTTGGTCAGCACACATGTGTTCAACATGTTTTACTACTTTTACAAATCAACTGTTTTAAGAAATATTGAAAGTGATATTCTAAAAAAAAAAAAGAAGAAGAAGAAAGTGATACTTTATTCTTTTGCATGGGGAGGAACCGAGAGAGAGGGAGAGAAAGAATATTAAGCAGGCTTCCATGCCCAGTGCAGAGCCCAAGGTGGGGCTCAGTCTCCGGACCCTGAGATCATGACCTGAGCTGAAATTAAAAGAGTCTGACGCTTGGGGATGCCTGGGTGGCTCAGTTGAGTGCCTCCCTTCAGCCCAGGGCATGATCCTGGAGTCCAGGGATAGAGTCCCACATAGGGATCCCTGCATAGAGCCTGCTTCTCCCTCTCCTTGTGTCTCTGCCTCTCTCTCTGTGTGTCTCATGAATAAATAAAGTCTTAAAAAAAAAAAAGTCTGACGTTTAACCGACTAAGCCATCCAGACACCCCCATTTTCTTTTTCTCCTCTCCCCCCTCCCCCCTCCCTTCCTCCCTCCCCCTCTCCCTTTCTTTCTTTCTTCCTTCCTTTCTTCCTTCTTCCTCCTTCTTCCTCTCCTTCTCTCTTTCTTCTTTCTTTCTTCTTCTCTTCTCTTTCTCTGTGTTTTTGCAGTGGGTTTCTTATAGACAGCATATAGTTAGATCATGTTTTTCAATCCGGTGTTAATTTGTCCTTTTAATTAGTGCATTTACTTCCCTTTTATGTTCCTTTACTTCCTCCATCTATACTTAAGTTGTCTAAAATACTTTACATACATTTTATTTTTTTTTAATTTATGATAGTCACACACACACACACACACACACACACACACACACACACAGAGGCAGAGACACACAGGTAGAGGGAGAAGCAGGCTCCGTGCACCGGGAGCCCAACATGGGACTCGATCCCGGGTATCCAGGATCGCGCCCTGGGCCAAAGGCAGGTGCCAAACTGCTGCACCACCCAGGGATCCCCCCTTTATATACATTTAAAAACACATCAGACACTTATATCTATTTCAGCCATCAAATATAATTTAGAAAACTTGAGATGAAGGAAAGCCTATTGTATTTACCATACCTTTTTTTTTTTTTTAAGATTTTATTTATTTATCATGAGAGACACACACACACACACACACACACACACACAGAGGCAGAGACACAGGCAAAGGGAGAAGCAGGCTCCATGCAGGGAGCCTGATGTGAGACTCAAGATCCCAGAACTCCACGACCATGCCCTGAGCCGAAGGCAGATGCTCAACTGCTGAGCCGCCCAGGTGTCCCGTATTTACTATATATTTATCATGTTTTTTTCTTTCTGATATTCCACGGCCCCCCCCTTTTTTCCTTTTTATTTATTGAACTTCCTTAGCTACTAATTTTGTTTAGATCTACTGTTGAAAATTTGAGTTTTTCTTCATGTGATTTCTGAAAGAATTGCACTGGGTATATGATCCTAGGTTGACAGTTCTTTTCTTTCAGCACTTGGGAAATGTGCCACTGTCTTCTGCTCTCATGGTTTATGATGAGAAATCTGCTGCAATTTGAATTGCTTTTCCTCATGTAGGTAAAGTCTCTTTTCTCTCTTGCTGTGTTCAGGATTTGGGATGGAGGTGACAGGGAGATAATTGCTTTTCAGAAGTCTGACTATGATGTGTCTTGCTTGGTTTATATCTCTTGCCAAATTTGGAAAGTTTTTAACCATTATTTGTTTGAGTTCTTTTTTTTTTTTAGCCCTACCCTTTTTCATTGGATTGCAATGACATATTTAGAGCTTTAGTTATTATTCCATAGATACTCAAGCTCTGTTTAATTTTTTTCAGAAAATTTTTTTCTTTTGTTCAGTTTGGATGATTTCTGTTCAGTTTTCTCCTCTAGTTCATTTATTCCTTCTTTCCCCCTCAGTTCTGCTGTTGAACTCATTTATTACATTTCTTATTTTGGTTATTATGTTTTTCATCTCCAGAATTTCCATTTGGTTCTGTTTTATATCTTCTTGCTTTGCTGAGACATTTTGTTTTCATTTGTTTCAGGCATATTTGCAGGCATTCATTGAAGTGTTTTTATAAGAGTGTTTTAAAATCTTTGTCAGATAATTCTAACCCCTCGCTCATCTTTTATTTACCATCTATTGATTGTCTTTTTTTCATTCAAGTTGAGATATTCCTGGTTCTGATATGAGAAGTGACTTTCGATTGAAACCTGGATATTTTTGGCAGTATGTTGTTAAACTGTGGATCTTATTAACCTGTTTTAGCTGACTTCCCTCTGACAGTGCTGTAGCAAGGGAAGTGATGGGACTTTTATTGCTGGCAAATGGGAACAAAAGTCTAGGTTATTCCCCACTTGGCCTCCACTGACACCCAAAGGAGTAAGAAGATCCTTGGTATTTCAGGCAAAGGTGGGAGTTGTGGTCATGTCTCTCCCCCACGATAGACCTGTGCCAGTACTACCTTAGCTTGAAGGGATAGGAGTGTCTCATTAGTGCTTTTACACATGGCCTCCACTGATAGCAAGTGTTGGAGTGGTGGAGTAGTCTTGTTACAGTGGTCAAGTCCTGATACTCCACTAGACCTCCTCTGATACCAGCCGTGTGGGGAGAGGAAGGGAAACTGCTAGATGGAGCATTGAAGTTCTGTGGCTGCACTCTCCCTACTTGTCTTCTTCTGATCCCACTTTATTGTGCTCTAGGGTTGTGGCTCATCCTTTACAGCCTGGTGAGGAGGAAGTCTAGATTTTTCAGTCAACCATAGCTGGCATTGGTGAGTTTTTTCCCGTCATTTTTGGCAGGTGGAGGGCAGTTGTTGTCTAAAAGTTTTCTGTCTGCTAGGCTTCCCTTTTCCTGATGCTTTGGTTAGAGACAGTTGACTTTTATTGGGGCTTCTTTGTCTGTGTCCTGTTGGCGTTTCTGGGTTGCTGGCTTCTTTAGTTCTAAGTCTAGAATATGTGGGGCAAAAAGAAAATCCAGGGAGTTCACCACAGCGTTGTTCCTTGGGTTGTAAGTCCCTACCTAGTTTGCCTTTTTTCTGTTTTCAGAGGTTTATGATTGTTTTATATATAATGTCCTGTGCTTCTAGTTGGACTTAGTGAGAGCAGTAGGGACAAGTACGTGTGTACCATCTGGGAGTAGAATTCCTTCACCTGCTTTTCATTGTGGCAAAAAATAAAAATAAAAACACCTCGTATGTAGATGGTATTACAGATGATGTTATGGAGAACATACCCTAGAGTTTCAGGGAGAATTATTAACATTGGATTGGGTCTTCCAAAGATAGAGAGATTCTTATCTCAGGCAATTGAGATATCATTCAGCTTGAAGACCTGAGTTGCTGCCTGGTGACTGACAGTGACACAGTGTTCTTTGATTTTCTTTCCATGTGCTATTTTAGTCTTGGTTTTGTATATGCAGTAGAGCAGGAAGCATATTGGGTAGGATTACACCTTTGTAAGTCATTTTCAGTTCTGCTGTGGTTTAGGTGATTCCACTGGCCTTTAGTGTGATGGGCCAGATGCCCTTTCAAATCAGTAAATGGATAAAACTTACCTCTTATAAAAATGCTTTTAATCATAAATACTCCAGCAATTTATTTTTCTCTTTTTTTAAACTTGGCGCCTTAAACCTTTTTTACTTTTTAGATTCACTTGCAGTATAATTGGCTTTTTTGCACAGTCCCATGAATTTAAAAACATGAATAGATGTTGTATACAGTTCAGTGTTAAAATTTAGAAAGCTTCAACACCTCAAATAATTCCTGTATGATGTTTATTTGGTGTCATATCCTCCTCCCAACCCTAAACCCTGGCAACCACTATTCTTTTATTCATTACTGTAGTTTTGTCATTAGGTGCATTTAGTATAAATGGAATCATATGGTGTGTAACCTTTTGAGACTGGCTTTTCTCACTGCCTGTAATTCATATAAACCATAGATAGCAGTAGCCCCTTCTTCTTCTTTTTCTTTTCTTCTTTTCTTTTCTATCTTTTTTTTTTATTTTTTGCTGAGCGGTATCCCATGAGATATATGTATGTAATTACAGTTTATTTGTTTGCCGTTGGGTTGTTTCCAAATTATAGCACTTACAAATAAAGCCACTGTAAACATTAGTATACAGACCTTTGCATGAGTATAAGTTTTAATGGGAGTGGGATTGCATGGTTATAAGTGCATGTTTATATAAGAAATGTCCAAACTGTTTTCTAGAGCAGCTGTACCATTTTATATCCCACCTCCAAGTCCTATCTTTCCATCCTTTTCAAGTGTGTTTGCCTTTACTTGTTGGAGCATTTTTGTAAAGTTTCTTGAAAAGATTTGTCAGGTAATTCTAACATCTTCATCACTTCAGAGTTGTTGTCTATCGCCTTTTTCTATGCCAGCTGAGATTTTCCCTGTTTTTTCATATGCTGGCTAACTTTGGATTTTGTCCTGAACATTTTGATTATTATGAGACACTGGGTCTTTTAAAAATTCTATAGAAAATATTGATATTTTGATTTTAATAGGCAATGGATTAATTTAATAAGTTCAGGAGTAAAATTCCAGCTAGCCCTCTGTGAGAAGTGGTTCCTAAGTCAGTTCAGTTTTCAAAGCCTTTTCAGTGTTCTTTGGATTTGTCCTACTTATTTGCCACCCAGTGGCTTATCTGGGAAATGAGCAGTGCTCTATCTGGTAGTTCAGTTCTAAATGTCCATGTATGCTGTTTAAGGGCAGATCCATGCATGTATAACTTGGGGGGAGAGGCCAAGAGTTGTCTTAAAAAAACTCTTCTCTGCTATCTCCCACTCTTGTTTTGGCTCTCTGGCTGGGAAGTTGGGGCTTTAGTGATTGTGTTCTATGGTGCAGTTCCCATGATTGTGCCCACGCATCAGGGGATAAGTGGTGGGAGGATATAGTGAGGATAAAAGCAACAGGTCCCATTCTTGGGACCAGTGATCTTCCAATCAGAAATGAAGGTCCCCCTTGCTCAGAGTATTTGTTCCTATGGGCTTCTGTGTTTGCTCCCTCCCACTTCTACCACAGAAATGCTTGGGGCCCAGCACATGACAGAATGGAGAAAATAGTAATTTACTGTTTTTCTTCTGTTTCCCTGCTGCTTAAGTAGCTGCAACATACATCCTGTCCAAGTTTTATAGTGACATTTATTGAGACCTCCACGGTAGAGTATATATATTCCCTCTTATCCAGACTGGAATCCGTTAGGCTTGCTTATCTATTAGGCTGAAAGAATTAAAGGGAAGAGAAGAGGTAGGTCTAGGTTTCATGGAGTCTGAAGGTCATGCAATTTGGAAGGCCTCTTTAAGGAAAGGAATACAAGTTAGGATTATAAAATTAGGCACAGAGTTTTGGGATAGGGCTGTGAAAGGGAAGGACCCTAAAGCTTAAGCTCACTGGCTTTAATAAAAACCTGACTATGGGGAAAGATAAAACATAATTGGATATTGATTATAGGTCGGGCATTGTGCAGGGTGTTTTTTATTCATGTTTTTTCTCAATATTCATAAAAATAAAAATACAGTCTTTTTAATCCCAATCTTACGGTTAAGAAAAACAGATTTAAAAAGTTAAATCATGCAGATATAAGGGGCTTTATAACTCTGATATTCTAATTCCAAAGCATATGGTGTTTTTCCTGCCCATAGAACTTTATGAAATAAATAGAGATTAGGAGAACTATATAGGCTCTTGGTTAAGAGCATAAGCTCAGAAGCCAGATGCTGGGGTTCAGCTTTGGTCCTATCATTGATTATGCGTGACCTCAGCCAAGTTCCTTAACCTTTCCTTACCCTTCCTCTATATGACTCTAAAATGGGGATAATAGAACTATATAAGGTTGCTGTGAGGATTAAATAGTTAACATAAAGCAATTAGAATAGCTTCTGGCATACAGTAACTGCTTTTTTATCCACTATGTACAACTGCGCATTCAGATAAATCAGGTTTTATTTGCTATGTTAGCAGCCTTCTTGAGCTACAAAGACAGGTTACAAGCTAAGGGGATTTTTTTTTCACTTACTTACATATAAGTTGTATTAGGTGTCTGGAATACAAGCTGAGAAGTAGGTTACATATTATATAATTGATAATACTCTTACTTTTTGTCAAGAAGTAATAATTTTTTTTTAAGTCTAGGAATGTTAAATCTATTTAACAAGCAAAGCCAGAAGAAATGTTCTATATGGGTGATTGGAAAATCTGGACCATTATAAGTTAAATATTTTGGGGAAATGGCCAGATAATAACACGTAGAGGTAGAAGAGTTCAACAAAAAGAAAAATATACCTTTTCCTACAGATGAACTGTTACACATTCCCAGGCGCTTCTGTAAAATGAAGACAGTAGTGTTAGTCTATATTAGTTACCTTATTGAAATGTCATGAAATTTAAAACAATAAGCATTTATTATCTCCCAGTTTCCATGGATCAGGAATTGGGGAGTGAGTGGTTTTGCTTTGTGACTCTGGCTGCAGTCAGGATGTCAGCTTCGGCTGCATCCATGTGGAGCCTTGACCAGGGGTGGAGTACCACTGCAAGGTAGTTCTCTCACATGCCTGGAGAGCGTGTGTTTCATGGACTTCCTAGCCACATAGACCATTGCATATGACTCCTGGAGGTCCTCAAGATGGTGCAGCTGGCATCCCTTCAGAGCAAGCAGCTGAAGGCAGATCAAGGCAGTATCCACAGTGTCTTTTATGACCTAGCCTCACAATTTTCTTTCATTTTTGCAATAGCCTGATGGTCACACGGGTTATCCCTATTCAGTATGGGAAAGGGGCTGCTAGGATGTGGCCATCCTGGATACTGGCAACCTCCTTGTCTTCTGAGATTACTTTAACATTTAAATGAGATTATCCTGGGAGAAGCTTTGGGAAGCCCGTAGGTGCTCTGTGCAGTAGCTGTTTATGATTACTGTGTTTTTCACTGTTGGCTAGTCTGTGGAAATCAGTTTCTAGTTTTTTCCCTGCTACCAAGGAAAGTATACATGTCTCTGTGGAAAAGAGATGCCCACCGATAAGGAAAGTCTTGGTTGTTCTTGTAATTGTTCATTTACAAGCTGTGTTGGTTTTCACTTAAGTATCAAGTGTTAGTAGCAATTAGAGTTTGAGGCCCAGATATTGATAAATGCCATAGGCAACAATTTTGACCCACAGAAAACTCATTTAATTACCACCTAGTACATGATCATTGAGGAAAAATATTGTATTTCAAGTCTGATACATGCACTTTTGTGTGTGTGATTATCATTTAACTTCTACTTTCTGCAAGGTTAAGCAAGTTCAAAATATTTTTTCTTTTCTAAGTCGACTGCATCTTACTGTTGATAATGATCTCTGTGGCTTGTTTTGAAGAGGACACTTACTAAATTATTTAGAAATGTAACAAGAATGTTGTGCAAAAGAAAGCATGAAGAGAATTCTATAATGTTTTTCTTTAAATGGTAATATATAAATATTTGGCCACTGGAGGGCTCCATATTTTAAAAGATTATATTGAAGATGTAGATGCTCACTGTAACCATTTTAATCAGTACAGAAAGATAGAAAGGGCTCCATATTTTTCAGCAAAGATTAAATCAGATAGTTGTTGAATATGAATAGTTGTGTGCATGTACATATGGAGTGTCGATATTTGCTTCCTTTTCCTTACATTGGGATGAAAATAAAATATATTACATAATGTTTTCATAAATAAAATTCACAACTCTGATGTCAAAATACAAAACTAGTCATTTTAAAGACCCTCTGTAAACAAAGAGGTTAAGACAG